CATGTATCTGTCTATCTATGACATGATGTATAATGAATATTTAAAATTTGAACATAATCAGTGAAAGCAAATCAGATATGGCACGAGAACCACATTCATTAATACATTTTGAATCTTATCTGAAAAAATTATTTGCATCAAGGTACCATAATGTCTAATGTATATACCAAGTTTGAACAAAATCCATCTGTAAACAGCAGAGAAATGCTTGATTTTGATGATTTTTAGCACAAAAATGGCCGCCATTCGGCCATCTTGAATCAGATTTTGAAACAAATTGACGTGCATATGTATAATATCATGTATGATGTATGTGTGAAGTTTGATTGTGATTGGTCCAGGCATTTCTAAGATACAGGTCCGGACGCACGCACAGACGCACGCACAGACGCACGCACGGAGGTCAAAACATAAGTCCCCGTTTTCAGACTGCGTCCGAACGGGGACTAATAACCATGTGGTCAAAATTTACCTGAGTTATACTGCGACAACATGGATGCCCATTCTTTACCATTGTTGGCCATCATGTTTGCTACACGTACTCGTATCCATGCCAACAGAGACTGAGGTTTGACAAAATCATACAGGGTGTCATTATAGACATTGATGCTGGTTTGTATCATGACTAGCCCGTTTCCTAGAAGATAGTAGTCATCCAGAGATTCTAGGAAACCTAAAATTCAAAGCATTGAATATATCTGTGTTGTTTAGGGTTTATTAGAAAGATTCCTACTATACATAACGCTTCAACTCGGGGAATTTGACACATAAATGCCAGTTTCATAGACAGTTTGTTTATTTACTTTTGTGTCATACAAAGTAAACTATTCATATATAATGACTCACCTGCCCTGAAATTAAAAAGTATTTCTATTTAATGGAACCATACCTGGGTAACTTGAAAAAGACATCTGTTTGGATGCAACACTGATGGACTTCAAATTAAAATTATAATGCTTATAAATACGAATAGTTGAACTGTAGTCAAACCAGCTGGAATGGGCCATGAAAATATTCTCATATGCACCTAGAACCTGAAAATGAATATAAAATTATCCTTTATTTATAGCAATTTGACTAATATTCTCATATGCAACACTTACATGTATACCAATTTGTATGCCCAGTCATATACTTATGTGTATTCCCCTTTTATACCCATATGTATTCCACTTGTATACCAATTTGTATACCATATGTATTCCACTTGTATACCCATTTGTATACCCATGTGTATTCCACTTGTATACCCATTTGTATACCCATATGTATTCCACTTGTATATCCATTTGTATACTCATATGTATTCCACTTGTATACCCACATCTATTCCACTTGTATACCCATATGTATTCTACTTGTATACCCATTTGTATACCCATATGTATTCCTTTGTTATTCCCATTTGTATACCCATATGTATGCTCCTGTTACACCCACTTGTATATCCAAAAGTATTCTACTTGTATACCCATTTGTATACCCATATGTATTCCCTGTTATACCCACGTGTATACCCATATGTATTCCACTTGTATATCCACCTGTGTATCCACTTATATAACCCTAGTATACCCATTGTATGCTCATATGTATTCCACTTGTATACCCATTTGTATACCCATGTGTATTCCACTTGTATACCCATTTGTATACCCATATGTATTCCACTTGTATATCCAATTGTATGCTCATATGTATTCCACTTGTATACCCATGTGTATTCCACTTGTATACCCATTTGTATACCCATATGTATTCCACTTGTATACCCATTTGTATGCTCATATGTATTCCACTTGTATACCCATTTGTATATCCATGTGTATTCCACTTGTATACCCATTTGTGTACCCATATGTATTCTACTTGTATACTTATTTGTATACCCATATGTATTCCCGTGTTATACCCACTTATATAACCCTAGTATACACATCTGTATGCTCATATGTATTCCATTTGTATACCCATATGTATGCTCCTGTTACACCCACTTGTATATCCAAAAGTATTCTACTTGTATATCCAATTGTATGCTCATATGTATTCCACTTGTATACCCATTTGTTTACCCATGTGTATTCCACTTGTATACCCATTTGTATACCCATATGTATTCCACTTGTATACCCATTTGTATGCTCATATGTATTCCACTTGTATACCCATTTGTGTACCCATATGTATTCTACTTGTATACTTATTTGTATACCCATATGTATTCCTGTGTTATACCCACTTATATAACCCTAGTATACACATCTGTATGCTCATATGTATTCCACTTGTATACCCATTTGTATACCCATGTGTATTCCACTTGTATACCCATTTGTATACCCATATGTATTCCACTTGTATATCCAATTGTATGCTCATATGTATTCCACTTGTATACCCATTTGTATACCCATGTGTATTCCACTTGTATACCCATTTGTATTCCCGTTATACCCACTTGTATACCCATATGTATTCCACTTGTATACCTATTTGTTTACCCATATGTATTCCTCTGTCACACCCTCTTGTATACCCATATGTATTCCATTTGTATATCCACCTGTGTACCCACTTATATAACCCTAGTATATCCATTTGTATGCTCATTTATATACCCACTTGTATTCCACTTATATATATACACACACCACAGATTTTGACATGTTTCTGCTATTATACAAATGAAAATTAGGCAGAGGGTTTTTAACTCGCCTATTCACCTACATGTAGTTCATACCCACAATAGACTCCGGTAAGTCAGTCAAAATGATTATTTTGAACTGTAGGCATTAATCTGCAATTCAGCCAATGACGGAGTGAGAAATTGAGGTCAGGGGAAGCCCCATGCACTAGCTCCAACTTGTGAGAAGGCATCTGATATAAGAGTCACAACTGTGGTGAGTGGGTCCAAGGAGGGTCCTGAGTTAGGCATTTGCCACCCACCAGGGCAAGGAATCCCTCGCTTAGTTCGAGAGAATAACTCACTTCTTCAGTTCCAGTAGGTGAGACCGATGTTGCAACAAAGTGGGTTGCATCGGGCGGCTGTGCAGTACTTGGGAAACTACCCTGTGAACTGACTCCATCCAAATGATGCGTGTCAGTTTTGGGAGAGACACAGAGGGAACGTTGACTAGACGTTCAACTAGACTGCTTATTGCTAGACAACGAGCCTGCAATGGACGGACAAAGCTTTCCTCTATGTTGAACTCCATGCCCAGAAAAACCAACTGACGTGTTGGGTGTGAATGGGACTTTCCTTAGATTTACTAGAAAGCCTAATTAGTGTAGTATATCCTGTGTTAGTTTGACCTGCTCGACCAACAACCTCTTGTTTTGGTTGTGTAGCAACCGGTCGTCTAGGTAGGGTTGATGTGTACTGATGACTGATGAGAGGCAGCACCACATATTTCAACACTCTGGTAAACATGTATGGAGCTGAGCTTAACCAGGAGGGCAGCCCAGGTATTTGAATACTCTGGTGAACATGTATGGAGCTGAGCTTAACCAGGAGGGCAGCCCAGGTATTTGAATACTCTGGTGAACATGTATGGAGCTGTGCTTAACCAGGAGGGCAGCCCAGGTATTTCAACACTCTGGTGAACATGTATGGAGCTGTGCTTAACCAGAAGGGCAGCCCAGGTATTTGAATACTCTGGTGAACATGTATGGAGCTGAGCTTAACCAGGAGGGGAGCTCCGGTATTTGAATACTCTGGTGAACATGTATGGAGCTGAGCTTAACCAGAAGGGCAGCCCAGGTATTTGAATACTCTGGTGAACATGTATGGAGCTGTGCTTAACCAGGAGGGCAGCCCAGGTATTTGAATACTCTGGTGAACATGTATGGAGCTGTGCTTAACCAGGAGGGGAGCTCCGGTATTTGAATACTCTGGTGAACATGTATGGAGCTGTGCTTAACCAGGAGGGGAGCTCCAGTATTTGAATACTTGGTTCGAATGGGTGACTCGAAGGAGTCAATGACTTGCTGGGTGCATTGGTATGTGCCAGTAAGCATCGCTTAAATTTAGCGCGGCTAACCAATCGAACGGTGCACTCTGCCCCCACCAAACACTCTCCCATCCTTGCGACCTGGAGGGGGACCACCTGGGGAAGAGGAGGATCCAACACCTGGTCCCTTCTTTGGCGGGCACTCTTCTCTCCCCCAGGAGAGTAGGGGCGCTTACCTCCTGGCTGCTTCTGGCCAGTAGGTGCCAACTTCAGGCGTTGCGTTTTCTCTGCTTGAGGTTCCATCTGCTTGCCCTTGGCAGCAGCCAACTGGCTCGTGGATTCCACCTGTACTGTCTGGTTAGTGGCTTTGTAGTGACTGCACCCTCCGTCTCCCCACATTCAGTAATCTGCCAGACCAGGAGAGGCGCGCAGTCGGTGTTGCCTTGAATCCTGTCGTCTCAGATCCTGGAAGCCACAATGCTACCAGTGCGACCGCTTCAGGACCGAGGGTGAGTATATGACCAAGCCAAATTTGGGCAACAACCCGGGAGGTGAGGAGCTCTTCTTGGAGTGCTTTTCATTCCTTCTAGTCCATTTGAACTACACTAAGAAATGAACAAGGCATGCATGAGTGGAACGCAATTACAGTTGAAACTGACACAACGCCCTACAAAAGTAGCTATACGCGTCACCCAAGTTTTTTTGTATGTGATACAAAAAGAACATGGGACCCCTAATAAGAAAAATGTTGTCCTACCAGACACCACTTCTCACTGTTACCAACGGTCACAGGAGTACCTCAGAAAACTCAGATGAAAAACAGCTGACTGATCCAGACTGTTTTGCTGCGATGCACACTTGGTGCAGAGAAAACAGGGAGTGAAGATAAGGCAAAATGGCGCTGACCTCTCTGCCTCGGTCACGTGTTACGTGACATGGAAGAAAATCTATGAGGTCATGGGGCTTCCCCTGACCTAGATTTCTCTCTCTGTCATTGGCTGAATCACAGATTATTGCCTACAGTGTAAAATAGTCATTTTGACTGGCCGGAGTCTTTGGTGGGTAATTGAAGTAGTGAATATAATTATATGCATTTGGTGTTGTGAGTGTGAGCTGGTTTCACTGTTTTAAGAGCTAGATTGTTTGGGAAATAGAATATGCCTAAAATTTAACTGAATTGCAATTGTATATGTAGGCATCATTTTGAAAGAAATGAATTGATATATTTATATATATATTACCTTGAAGAGAGCTGAACAATGACCATGGTTGGCAAAATACATCTGGAAATGTGAAGGTGACATCTTTGTCCAATCAGGACGAGTAGATGGAGAAAGGGCATCACGTAAATCAATCATATCACCAACACCATTTAAAAGTTGAAAAGCAAACCTATCCAAAGTCTGCAAAACAAAACAATTTTATAAATAGTACTTTAATTTTTTTCAAGTCGAGGGCAATATCAAAATTTGATATAAGTTTTGTGATAATGTTAAAAAAAATAAAGTTTATGTGTGCACATCAATTTTGAAAATTTACAAATTATGAACATTTAGCAGTTTTGTGTTTTGTCAATATATAAGCCTTATTAATTTAATAATCACAAGGCAGCTCTTTTACTAAGCATGACAGACATTAGCAAACCCTCAAAATGGCTTTCAATGGTTAGAACAGCAGTCTATCCAGCAATAGCATTCAGACATAATAAGCCTTCACATGTAATACTGCATTCTTAACATTAATGGTGATTGCTAACCTGACAGTATGTACCTTGTTTTCATATGGATATGCTGTATAACCATCCACCAATCCATCTAACTGGGCAATAATAACAGATACTGCTTTCCAATATTCACTACTCAGATTATCAGATATTTGTTGCCGAACCCAATCTTCCTGTTTATTGAAAAATATTCTGACTTTCCTCTCCAAGTCCTCTTTTCCTTTACCCAGGAACAAAGAGTGTATGTTTACATAGTGTTGGTAAATTCGCCTGATTATTCAAAACAAAGTTATGTTATTAATTACTCATTAATGCATATATTCATTTACAACAATCAAAATGAGGAGGAGGTTCAGTTTTGTGTATTTGTACCCACATCAAATTTAGAAGTAAATGACATTTTATTTATACAGTCAATATTATCAACGCTACTCAAATACAGAAAATAAAAAAAAATCAGAGTCAATTGAAAATTTTCAAAAAAAATATGACTTTCTTCCTTATAATGCCTTGTCAAATGCTCAGTAATAAGGTAAATATATTGTTTTATTCTTTATTCAAATTAAAGATCGATTGATTGTTAGATCCTAATATTTACCCAAGGATTATGTTCGTAGCTTCATAGCCAAGGGATAGTTTGTAATAATTGCACACCATTAATAAGATTTATTCTGTGTTTAAATTGGTTTTTTATCAGTAAATTCACAAGTGGGTAGGACAAATAATTATCAATTATTTATAGAGAGGTTGTTCATCTGGCACTACAAAAAAAAAGATACCATGTAATAACCTAATAATACTTACTCGGCAGTGAGGGCGCCCTCTAGATACCCAGCTGCATACATCACATCTGTATCCTTCATATCAGATTTACTGTATCCGGCCTTGACATTGAAAACACCCCATCCTGTAGTGTACATTGTATCATTGTAAGTGCCATAAGCTGTTGATGATTTATCAAGTCTGTCTCTTTTCAGTACAGCATGCCCATCAATGATGGAAACCGAACCAGTGGTGTACATAGCTGCAAAACAAAGAACACAATTGTTCATTTACTGTATTTATTTATTGATTGATTGGACAGCATTATATTTATTTAGGTTCACCAAAACTGAACTACTTGTAAATAAAAAGATTGGTATCACATGTTTTGTCAATCACCAACAATATGAGACTGATAAAACAAAAAAATTATAAAGGCAATCCCAAAAAAGAAACAAATTATTTAAAATCGAAGAAAGCTTAGAAAGAACTCCCATGTGCTGAGAGTATTGGAGACACATTAAAAATAATTTGAAATTACTTATACATGAGATATTGATGGAATGGCTGAATACTAATTATGCAAATCTGAAAATTAATATGAACAGATTTGAGTGTAAAACTAATGAGGTCTGCGCAAAGTAACAGACCATCTATGTACCAAGTTTTATTGAAATATGATTAGAACCCAAAAATTAAGATTTATTATGCTAATTAGGAATTAATATGAACAGATTTTAACCCCAAACTAAAGTAAGTTTCATTGAAATGGAATAATTTGTACTTTAGATATCAGTGTGATAGCTTAGAATTGGTTAATTATGCAAATTAGATAATTAATATGTACGGATTCCCACAATTAATCTGTCTATTGTCCTACAGCATCCATGTACGTTTCATTGAAATGTGATTAGTACTTGAGATATCAGTGTGAAAGCTGAAAATGAATTAATTATGCAAATTAAGTAATTGATATGCACAATTATTTACCAAAAACTAATTGGGTCTCTGCATAGTTCTAGATTCATTGAAATGTGATTAGTACTTGAGATATCAGTGGAAAAGCTGAAAATGAATTAATCATGCAAATTAGGTAATTGATATGCACAATTATTTACCCTGAAACTAATCAGTTCTCTGCATAGTTCTTGGGTATCTATGTATCAAGTTTCATTGAAATGTAATGCTTACTACTTGAAATATCAAAAGCTGAAAATTAATTAATTATGCAAATTAGGTAATTAATATGTACTGATATTACCCTAAAAACTATCAGGTCTGTGCAGTGTCCTATGACATCTATCTACGAAGTTTTATTGAAATGTGATGATTAGTACTTGAGGTATCAGTGAAAAAAATGAAAATTGACTAATCGTTATGCAAATTAGATAATTAATATGCACGGATTTTTACTAAAAACTGAACAAATCTGTGCATAAGTTCAGAGTATCTATGTATCAAGTTTCATCAAAATCCAATGAGTGGTTTTTTTAGATATCAGTGGAGCAGTCATGGAACAGCTAAAAATTAGCTAATTATCATGCAAATTTGGTAATTAATATGCATGGGTTTTTACTAAAACCTAACCAAATCTGCACATTGGCCCAGAGCATCTATGCACCAAGTTTCATCAAAAACCGATGTATAGTTCTTGAGATAGCAGTGGAACAGACGGACGGACACACACACACACACACACACGCACACACCCATACACACACACACACACACGTACAGACAAACTAACTGTAAGGACTCCCATTGTGTGCTTCGCACATGAGAGTCAAAAAATCAGACTTGATGAAACAATCAAGCAGTATTATATACCACTGCCAAAATATGGGCGTTTGTGCCTGAGCGCAGGTCATCATTTGCCCGACGTTAGCACAAATGCCCATATTTGGGCTGTAATATTTTTATTACATGCCTTAAATAACATAAAGAATACAGGGTTTATATCTTAATGTTTAAAAGTAAATTACGCATCCTGGCGATAATGGCTGCAGCAGACGAAATAGATAATGTGCAGTGGTTGCGGTCGATAGGACGGCCAACTTGATGAAATTTTTGGACCAGCACTAGAAAATGAAGTTCCAGACGAAGTGGACAGTTTTATAAAAGCACGCCAGAAGAAAAGTACCGTTAAAACCACCGAACGTGATGTCCGTCGCTGTACCGAGTGGCTAACTTAGAATACCGGAGCTTGTGTCAATAACCCGTATACAACTGAATTTGCGTGAATTAACATGTGCGAGTTGATTTTACATGTATTGTTGTAAAATTGGATTTGTGTGTGGTTGCAAACTTGTTAAAATATTGAATAAAAATTATTATTAAAATATTGAATATTAACATCATCATGATTGTCCTTTTTATTTTTTATAAATTTTCTCCAAGCAAAACGAAATCCTGTTTTCCAAGTTTTTATTTCCATAAAGGCAGTTGCTATAATGGAATATAAACAGAACATATATAAAGATCTAAATCACTATCAAATACTCAAGGTTTCAACCAACAATATTACTCCACCTTTATTTTGTTATTGTTGCAGTTCTATTTTCATTTTGCATTATCGGTTGCTATGGCGGCAAGCCACCACATCAAGTAATAAACAATATGGCAAGACATGGGAATAAGATCCAAAGCTACCTTTGGCACAGGCTCATTAGTCGGACAAGTTACACCGTGATATAAGCCGACAGTTTTGAAGTTGAAATGCAGGTCACAACTATCTGAAGTTATTACTCTCCCCTTCTCTATTAAGTCAATCCCGCGTATGCATATGAATAATTATCTCTTAGAACACTAAAGAAAAGTAAAACTAGTGTCATTTTCATAATTTTTACCTATTTGATATATTATGTAATACAAGGATTGAAAAAATGAAATAAAACATTTCAGTACAAAGAAATCAATCGATAAAATACAGTGAAAATTGAATGTTATGTCTGTCTAAGGCCATTTTACCATTGTTCCTATAGCAAGTATATATGAATATCTCAAAAGTTTGGTTGGTAACATATGCTGAAAACGAATAATTTGTATACAGCCCGGGGGAGGGGGGGTTACCTACATTGAAGTGCTATATGTATATGTGCCGCCAAAACGGGTCCTAAATTCACAACTTCTGTTTGAAAAGGGGTGTGTTATTTTACCCTGTCTGTCTGAAAAGGGGTATCCTTTTTTCATTAATTACTGCCTGGAAAGGGTTGTCAAATACCCATATAGTTTGTCTGAAAAGGGGTAGGAAATTTGAGTTTATTTCTGTCTGATGAGTGGTAGAAGTTTCAAACAACCAGCTATACACACCCCTATCAGTATTTTTTGCAAGTACCCCCCCCCCCAGATTTTGACACAAAATATTGCTACTGCTACCGAGGTCTGTTCTGTACTCATTGATTCCTTCATCTCGGAATACATACAGTCTGTGTTGGGTTGTCTTTAAACTATTAGCCATTGTAATTTGATGAATTTGTATCTGTAATTTTTGTTGTTGTTGTAACCTTTAACCTCCTTCAGTAGGTTGTTATGAGTTAATAAATTGTTGTTGTTGTTGATGAACATACCTTCGGTATCAACGGTTCTCGTCGCAACGACAATCAACATACATAATACTCCCCGGCCTAATGCTTCCATTATTCCGTATTTACAGTACAACAGATTTGAGTTATAAACTACATAGGAAGGCCGCGGACGCACAGACTGAAGAATAAAACTGATCACGTGTAGAAATCACATGACGTTACATAGCAGAGTTCACCCACAGGGAGCCCAGGAACTATAATCAACTGTAATACGGAGTTTCTATGAGCGCGGGGGGGGGGGTATCGGCTGGTATCTAGTGTAAGGAATAGACGAAACGGAATAGGTGAAACAGGTGAAACGGAGGAGCCAAACTTAAGGCGTAAAAATAGAACGCGTATTTTGACCTCTACGCGGCCACCCACTGGCTGGACTCCCATTCTCTACCATCGGCCCCACGGAGGATGGCGCGTGACCCTTGTCACGCAGGATGGCTGGACTCCGTTACGTTTGCGGTCGTTGCCAAAGAGCCCCGCGTCCATTGCCTGGCGATGCTCTTCTTTTCATCCCCTCCGGAATGTTCTACTTTCGCAGCCTAATCACAGTTTTTTTTCGAAAAACGTCGAAAAAACATAAGAATTAGTAGAAATGTTTCTATTTTGGGCGGATTATTGATAGAGAATAATGTCTTTATTACAAAAATGCTGAAAAACCGTGAGTTTTTGCCTTAGTTATTTTTTTTATCGGCGAAAAACTGCGAACTCGGCAAATTTGGTTGCACAAATGCCAACTGACTGTGGTTTTTGTAATAGCAGTGTTCAAATGAGCATGCTTTTTATTTTGGCTACGTTCCCGCTACGTTGCGCACTGGTAGGAGATCGCCGGCGCCGACATTGTTGCACTGTATCAACGTAATCCCAAAGCAACTTTGAACTTTGAATGAACTGTAAATGCTGCCTACATTCTAGAAAATACTATCGCAAAACGGATGGAAATAGTAAATTATGTAACAGAAGAATACGTCCTAGTAATAAACGAAGTGACTTCTAAAGACTGAATGTTTTTAGTCGAGTAGGAAATATGGGTCCCCATGCACCCCAATGATATATTTTTTTAACTTATATTTTTGGAATCGTCAGGTTGTCTAGTACACAAATTTTTATGTTCCCATTGTG